TAACCGAAACAGGTGCGGAATTAAAACTATCGATCTAGCCAAGACTACACCCCTCTATTTATGTTCTCTAGCACCTTCCAAGGATACTAATTAAGCAACAAAGATGTCGGGCTAGTTAGAGCTCACCTAACCAATTCTAGAAGTAATGTCACACAAACTTATGCCACTAATACTTTAAGCAACAAGGAAGCTCCTACACATGCTAGTAAGCAAAAGCACAAAGGCACCTAAGCTCAGTAGCAATGCTCAATAACAAGGTAACAAATGCCAAATTAGAGAGCGCAAATACTTAGCTACACAAACTAAGCAATGTGACTAACAAGGTTACACAAACCAAATTAGTCACGCAAGGAAGCTACTTCTATGCTAAATAAGCAAGAAGGTAACTAGTGAGCTACACAAGCTTAACTAGATACAAGAGTAACTACACAAGCACAATGTATATGAAAGTAATTACAAGCTTGTGTAACGAGGATGTAAACCAATGGGAAGAACAAGGTTGACACGGTGATTTTTCACCCGAGATTCACGTGCTTGCCAACACGCTAGTCCCCATTGTGTCGACCGCTCACTTGGTGGTTCGGCGGCTAATTGGCATCACCCGCCAAGCCCGTACGTCGGGCACCGCAAGAACCTATCCCGAAAGTGAGGGTAGCTCAATGACACGCTTTACTAGAGTTGCTCTTCGCGGCTCTCGCGGGGTGAGCACAATGCCCCTCACAAAGCTCTTCTCCGGAGCACCGCACAAGCTTCTTGCGGGCTTCGACAGAGACCACCACCAAGCCGTCTAGGAGGTGGCAACCTCCAAGAGTAACAAGCACCACCGGCTTGCAACTCGATCACCTAGTGCCACTCGATGCAACCTCACGATGCAATGGTACTAGAATCGCTCTCTCACACAATCGAATGATCACTATCAAGTATATGTGAGATGGAGGGCTCCTAAGCACTACTACACAAGACACCAAGGCTCTAGTGTGCTCAGCTGCCGGCCCAAGGCCGACCATGGCTTCTATTTATAACCCCACGAACAAATAGAGCCGTTACCCCTTCACTGGGCAAAAGTCGGGACGACCGGACGCTCCGGTCCGATCGACCGGACGCTGGACCTCAGCGTCCGGTCACGTAATACTCACCACGTGTCCCCTCCTTTAAACGCTGTTCATCCGATCTCAACGGTCATCTGACGACCGGACGCAGCAGCTTCAACTGACCGGACGCTGAGCCCCCAGCGTCCGGTCGTTTCCAGTAAGGTTCTAGAAACGATATTTCACGATCGGACGCGTCTGGTCGATCGCGATCGGATGCAGTACCAGCATCCGGTCACTCTCCAGCTTCTGCTCTGCCTACGTCACCATACGTCAGCTCTGACCGGACGCATCCTACCAGTGTCCGGTCACTTCCAGAGCCAGCGTCCGGTCCACTTTGTGAGACCCTGTCTTTTCTGTATAGGGCGTCGGTGGCACCATCGGACTGTCCGCACTCTACGGGCGGACACTCCGCCGGTGGAGTTTCTCCTTTCGCCTCCGTTTCATCGCCGAGATGATCCACATCAACTCCAACTTCACCTCCTTTGTAAATGTGCCAACACCACCAAGTGTACACCACCATGTGTATGTGTGTTAGCATTTTTACAATCATTTTTCAAAGGATTAGCCACTCAACTTGTCACACCACTCAATCCTAGCGACGATGCAAAGTTAGATCACTCGGGTGGCACTAGATGACCGATATGCAAACAAGTTTGCCCCTCTTGATAGTACGGCTATCTATCCTAAACCCGGTCATAAACTTCTTTACACACCTATGATCGGTGAAATGAAATGCCCTAGGTTATACCTTTGCCTTGCGCATTTCATTCCATCTCCTCCAATGTCGATGCAACACATGCACCAACATGATCAACAATGATATGATCCACTTCATATCATCACGTGATCATGTTGGTTCATCAATCTTGACTTCACTTGCTCTTCACCGTTGCCTTCGTCCATCGGCGCCAAGTCTTGCTCAAGCTTCACCGCCACGCGGCCCATTGCTCCAAAGCCTCTGACTTGCCCTTCACACTTGCAACCGGTCCATCAAGCCAAGTCTTGTCTTGATCTTCTCCACCTTGATCACATGACTCAATGTCATGTCTCATTTGCAATAAGCTCCTTCATCATCACATGTGTGAGCTTTACAACATCTTCAAGCCATTTTCACTTTCATGGCATATGTTTCTCACACATATGTACCTGTGGACTAATCACCTGTGTATCTCACATAAACACAATTAGTCCACCTAGATTGTCACTCAATTACCAAAACCACACAAGGACCTTTCAATCGGTCCGGCCGACCTCTTACCAGTGTTAGTATAAGTTTGTTAATGACTTTTATCAATATTTGTAAGGCTGCATCGGTCCAGCCGACCTCTTACAAATCTTGATAGTTAGTTATCGATTTTGCTATAATTGACATTCTTAATATTTGTAGCAAAATCACCTTTTATACGATTAAGATTGAGATAGATCGGCATCATATCTTATTAATCCATCGTTTTATTGACATATCACGTTCAATTCTATCTTTGACAATGGTTTCGATTAAATCGACTGTTTTGTCTCAATCTTGATCGTGAATAGCATATGGTCAAAGTATGTTTGAGCTTAAGTAGGTCTATTAGTTAACAAAATATGGTCTATAGCTCGCTATTATGGCTATCTCAATCGGATCGATCCCTACTGTTAGCACTGTATATTGGAAATTGTTAATTAAAAGGTTTGCTTGCGGTCAAGTATGACCTTTGACTACTTGGTAATTTTGTATCAGCTATTTAGCCGATTGCCCGCGCTTTCGCGTTCATAATGTGTATCCATGATACTATTGAAATATGAGTAGATTTGTTAGCTTTAACAACCTAACATGTTATCATTATCACGGCTGGCATCGATCTGGCCGAACCCCACTGTTAATGATGATAGGCTAGATTTGATGAGTAAATAGATTTGCTTATATTAAACAGTTAATTGTTTACACATTATGAGTCTATTTCATATGCTTCGGCTACTTAGCCGATAGCTTGAGCTTTCACGCGTGTAATAAGCTTTCAGGATCCTGCTGAAATACGAATAGATTTGTTTGCTTAAAGAGTTTAACTTGTTATCATTATCACGGCTATCATTGATCCGGTCGAACCCCACTGGTGATGATGATGGGTTAGATTTGATGAGTTTGTAGGTTTGTTTATATCCAATGGTCGAGTGTTTGCATGTTATACGACAAAACCACTGGAATCGGTTATTTAGCCGATAGTCTACGCATTGCATGTATACTAGTTCTTTAATGTATTGTACTTGTTCTTGTCTTGGTTAATAAGCTAGTACATTATTCAGTCAATGCGAATGCTTTCATGAAAATCATTTATTATGTTTTGCATGCTTTCATGATTGTCTGTTGACGATTTTTACAATTAATACCTGATAATTACTGATAATATTCATTTTGATTGTTTCATATCGTGAGTGTGCTGGATATCGACTTTCTTTAGTCGATAGCCTTATGTCATCGGCTATTTAGCCACAAATATGGAACTGTTTGGAACAACACCGGTATGCTCCACCTTAAATTACTGATCACTTTCTTTATCTTAATATGGAACTGTCTGGAGCAACACCGGTATGCTCTACCTTAAATTACTGATCACTTTCTTCTCCTTGTCAATTGTAGAGTCAAATTGACTGGTACGTCTTTGGTTTTGGATCCGACCGGTTCTTTGTTCGAAATCGAGGAGATCTCGAGACCTGCTCTGCGTAGTTTCTCTCGACTTGCTACGTGTCGGACGTGATCGCCACATTTTTGCGTCTGACAGATACAGCCAGCAACAAAGCAAGGGGTCTAAGAAGATCAGTAAGCCTCTAGACTGAGGTTGACTCTATGCCCCATTTGTTTCCCCCTATAATCGAATTCTAAAATAAATAGAAAATCTCACAAAACATTTCGATTATCTTTTATTCTGCTGACTGTTGTTTAGGAAATTTAAACTAGCTAGATTGAGAATCATAAAAATCCCAGCGATACAACCATTATAACTGAATATGCTATAAGCGGAAGATAGAGAGAGAATCAAAGGCAGCTGAGGAAGAGCAGCAGAGGATTTGATCATTGCCGCCGCCTTCTGTTGTATAAATTCTATTGCTTCCTTCCTTCTAGAGTTGTTTCTGTCCAGACAGCCCAAACTGGCCATGGCCCATAGCCCATAGCCCCATACCATGGCACACATCTACACAGTTGGGCTTTCATCAAAATAAAATCTACACAGTTGGGCCACCTGACATATGGGCTGTGGGCTGTGCCAAATTCACGGTGGCTTTTGACATGGAGATGGACTAAACCTTCTGAAAACAAAAGAAGAAGAAAGGAGATGGACTACAAGGAGCTGTGGGCTGTGCCAAATTCACGGTCCCTGATTCCTCTACCTTCTACAACCTACGAGTCCTCCTCCATCTCTGGTCTTTGCTACCGCTGAGCACTCTGCACTCCCTCTCAGTTGTATTAACAACGCATCATCATATCTGGTGCTTCGTCAAGGGAGAGCCATAATGACTTGGTCAAGAGCTTCTTTCTTTGCCTGATTGATTGGCTTCTAACATGTAGATTGTAGAGTAGACCATCAGAAATACTTTTCCCACTGTAAAACGCCTTAAAACACGTAGCTTTGGATCGTTGCTTTACTAAAGAGAATAAAGGCGCAGTGCATCGATCACGTCTCCGACACAACTTCTTTGCTTTAGTGCTCACTGTCTTCAGACTTTTTTCGAAAGCAGCATGTTCCTACCTGCTTTAATCTTTAATTAATCATCAAGGATTCAAGCGCACCAAGATCTATCATCATCCTCCATCCCCTACACTTGCTTCTATATAAACCAACGAAACGATGTCGAATTGTGCCCCAGCCAGTGAGCTCACTCACTCACGCTCAGTATATAGCTAGGCAGCGACGGGGTCCAGGGCCATCCATGGCTAAGGAAAGCAAGCTGACGACGGCCGGAGTGGCCCTGCGGCTGGCCGCCGTCGCCGTGTGCGTGCTGTGCGTGCTGCCGGCGATGGCCCGCGCGCAGCTCCGGGTGGGGTTCTACGACACCAGCTGCCCCAACGCCGAGGCGCTCGTCCGCCAGGCCGTCGCGGCCGCCTTCGCCAAGGACGCCGGCATCGCCGCCGGCCTCGTCCGCCTCCATTTCCACGACTGCTTTGTCAGGGTAACAAAACTTAACTTACTGCCTCGCTTTTGTTTTGATTTACTTAATTTATTACCACCTGCAGCTTTTTTTACCAAGTGGACGTAGTACATGAAAAGACGAGCTTAAACTTTTGAGATGTGCTTGCCCACGTAATGGCAATGCTTAAACGACGTACGAATTTGTAGAGTGAAATAAAATGAATTGTTGAAGCATATCTTCAACAGTTTACGGCATTATTAATTGGCGCTTGTGCTTGTCCTAGTTACTTTCCGTTGTAAACCCTCCAGTAGCTACCAGTATAAACGTTAAAAAGAGATTCACCATTTAAATCAACTTAATTTGCGAGGCCTGGAATTCAAATTCTTCAAATTATAAAAATATTCCGTAGTTGTTATGAACGTATATTTATTTGTACAACGATGCCTGATACGCACTTTTACAGTACGTATATTGCAAAGCAGAAAAGCGACAGTTATTTTCTCGAGACAAAGAGACAAAGTATCCAAAGCAAAAAAGACCCCAAAAACCAAGTGAACGCATATATACATTTGCTCGGCTGCTTTGTTTCTTGGAAGGCAACGCATATTCCCTGCTTGCAACTGTTGCCAAGAATAACCTTTTTATCTTTGAGCACCAAGAATAACCTTTATGAGACGAATCGATCTCACTCTTTTTTTTTTTTGTCTTCTCAGCATGCTTACATTCTTTTGGATGATAGTACCAAAATTAAGACAACCAAACTAAAGGACAGAAGCATAAACATGCATGTTTCCTAGCTGGTACCAGTATCTTGTTTAATTTAATGTGAAGTAGCAAATGCATGGACAGTAGGAGTATTGCCCTGAAAACCTCAGACACTTCGTACAAGTAATAACATATATAGCTATGTGTAGTAGAAAGAAATACGTATATGCTGTGAAACCGAACGTTTATTTTGTACTTGATGTGTTCTAAATTATAAGTCACTTTAGGCTTTTAAATATGTTTTATTATATATCTAGACATAATGTATATATTGGAATGCTTGGAAGCAAATGCTTCCACTACCGGAAACCGGCACTTTGCCGAGTGCCGGAATCTTTGCCGAGTGTATTTTATCGGACACTCGGCAAAGACGGCTTTGCCGAGTGTTTTTTTCGGCACTCGGTAAAGATGGCTTTGCCGAGTGTTTGAGTGCCTTTTTTCTGGCACTCGGCAAAATGCGTCTTTGCCGAGTGCTTTTTTTTGCACTCGGCAAAGAGGCATTTTGCCGTGTGTATTTTTTTTTGTCCTCGGCAAATCATTTTTTCAAAGCAATTTTTGAGGCCCTAAATGAATTCAAATGAAAAACTTTTCAACTACAAAGTTGTATAACTTCTCAAGATCTACAAAGTTTATTTTGATCATTTCTTCATTTGACAAAGCGACAATAACGTTGTTCATAAAATCTACATCTCTCTCATATCTCTCATATTAGTTTCATGAAAGTCGAAGAGAGATATATAAGATTTATGAATAATGTTACTACCACTATGTCGGATGACCAAATGACCAAAATAAACTTTGTAGATCTTAAGATGTTATGAAATTTTGTAGTTGGCAACATTTTGATTTGAAAACATCTTGTCATGCAAAAATGACGTTTGTATTTGAAAATTTTAAAATTTGAATTTTTCAAAAGACCTTGGATGGAAAAACTTCCTAAATGAAAATTGTAGATCCCCAAAAGTTATGAAACTATGTAGTTGACAACTTTTTGATTTGAAATCATCTTATCATGCAAAACTACGTTTGAATCTCTCAAATTTAAAATTTGATTTTTTCAAACGACCTTGGATGGAAAAACTTCCTAAATGAAAATTGTAGATCTCCAAAAGTTATGGAACTATGTAGTTGACAACTTTTTTATTTGAAATCATCTTATCATGCAAAACTACGTTTGAATCTCTCAAATTTGAAATTAGAATTTTTCAAACGACCTCGGACGGAAAAACTTCCTAAATAAAAATTGTAGATCTCGAAAAGTTATAAAACTTTGTAGTTGACCACTTTTTAATTTGAATTCGTTTAGGGCCTTAAACAAGCAATTTACTCTCGATTTAGTATAATATATGATGATAGATAACGGAATCTGACAGACACAGTGTGAGTAGTAGTGAGTGGTAGAGCAGCAGTACACACACGCTGAGGAGAGGTCGTGAGTTCGAATCTGCGCGGCCGCATTAGCCGCAAAATTTGCTCAAAAATTACAACGACTTGATGGCGGTGGAAAGGTTGACGGACGGCGCTAGCCGATGGCGCCCTTCCCGAAAATAAAATTTTTGCTATATTATTTTTGGTTTTTTCGCATTTTTATTTTTGCCGAGTGTAAATCTTTTTGCGAGTGCTTTTCCAAGACTTTCGGCAAAGGCTTCTCGCGAGTGCTTATTAAAGCACTCGGCAAAGGCTTCTTTGCCGATTAATTCTTTGCCGAGTGCCCTTTGCCGAGTGCGGTACTCGGCAAAGTACCGGTTTCCAGCAGTGTTCAAGATCAAGTGTCAAAGTAGAATCTAGGATTTCTTTCTCCTTACCGTGGGGAGTGGTACCACTTGCATGATTATAGAGAAGATCGACCACCGTAACACTTGTTTCAAAGATAGAGAATTTTCTATCTAACTAGGTATATTGTTGCTATGTACTTAAAAACCAAAATGACTTATAATTTTAAATGGACGAAGTACTTTGCAAAGATATCAAGCAGAAACAACTATTGAACAACGACATTTTAAAGACATTTTCCTTATATACTGTGCTGATTAGCGACTTCAGGGGATTGTAGTTAAAAAGTAAGGAAAATGGCCATTTCACAGACATAACTTGTTTGAGTAACAACCACACTATATGATCTCATATCTACTCTCTCCATTACAAATTATAAGTCGCTTTAGTTTGGTTATAAATTAACTTCTCTAGTTTTGACTAAGTTTGTAAAAAAATGTATAAACATCTATAACATTAAACAAGATTCATTCGATACACCATGAAATATATTTGATAGCCTGTTTATTTAATATTGCAAATCTTAATATATTTTTTATAAACTTGATTAAAGTTATATAGGGTTGACTTAAAACAAAACTAAAACGATTCCGGATTTGAAAAGAATTGAGCAAAGATTAATATCATTCTAAGTCAAACCATCATAAATTTGACATAATTTATAAAAAAAAGAGTATTAACACCTATAAGTAAGTTATGAAAATATATGCCACAAGGAATCTAATTAATGATGCTTAAGTGATATCTTAGATAGTATTGCCTTTTCCCTGTAAATTTAGCCAGTCTTAAGACATTGCATAGTTTGACTCAGAATTAACTAGAAATCTTTAAGTCGGTTAGTTTGGTGCCAGTCAACGAGGTATTGTTTGTTAGTCGACTTTGACCATCGTCTTCCAACACTACTCTGCAGGGCTGTGATGCATCCGTCCTCCTCACCGTGAACCCTGGCGGCGGCCAGATCGAGCGTGACGCCGTCCCAAACAACCCCAGCCTCCGCGGCTTCGACGTGATCGACACCGCCAAGGCCGCCGTTGAGCAGAGCTGCCCGCGCACGGTCTCGTGCGCCGACATCGTCGCCTTCGCCGCCCGCGACAGCATCAGCCTCACCGGGAGCGTCTCGTACCAGGTCCCCGCGGGCCGGCGCGACGGCCGTGTGTCCAACGCGTCGGACACCGTCGACCTGCCCGCGCCCACCTCCACGGCGCAGACCCTCATCGACAAGTTCAAGGCCAAGGACCTCACCTTGGAGGATATGGTCGTCCTCTCCGGCGCCCACACCATCGGCCGCTCCTTCTGCTTCTCCTTCTTCCAGCGCGTCTGGAACACAAGCACGAACCCCCCAACGGCAATCGTACGTCCGACATGGCTGCGGGCTGACACTAATTAACTAGCTTGCTGCTTGCACGCATGAGCATGACGCATGTGACAAGTGTCATCGTGTATTTGCAGGTGGACGCGGGGCTGAGCCCGTCGTACGCGGCGCTGCTACGCGCGCTGTGCCCGTCGAGCACGACGCAGACGACGCCGATCACGACGGCCATGGACCCTGGGACGCCCAACGCGCTGGACAACAACTACTACAAGCTCCTGCCACGCGGCATGGGGCTCTTCTTCTCCGACAACCAGCTGCGCGTCAACACGCAGATGGCCGCGCTGGTGAGCAGCTTCGCGGCGAACGAGACGCTGTGGAAGGAGAAATTCGCGGCGGCGATGGTGAAGATGGGCCGCATCCAGGTGCAGACGGGAACGTGCGGGGAGGTCCGTCTCAACTGCGGCGTCGTCAACCCGAGTTCATACTCGTCGCCGTCGTCGACGGTGGAGCTGGGTTCGAGCGCGCCAGCCGTCGATGAAGAGAGCTACGCCGCGAGCTAGGAGCTGCAAGCTGCATACCTCTTCGGCCGCCGTCGTTGTCGAATGATTTTCTCGCATGCATGCATGTCCTCTCTGGACGTGTACGTACGTTTCAACCCTGCTTTTTTAGTTTGTCGCGTGGACTGTGTTTTTGTTGTGTCAATGATCTTTGTTGTGTGCCAGTGCCACTGAACGGACGCATGCCGGTATGCCGGTAATAAGCGTATGTATGAGTAAGTTGAGAATTTGTCAATTTCATTACATATTACTAGCAAATATAATCGTACGTTGCAATGAACATATACCTTATGTGTGATCACTTGAACGATTTGTGCCTCGCTACCTTGGAGAATTATGTAATGATTGCGTTGTCTGTTTCAATATGTATTGATATCGGAGTCCATACCATTACTAACTCGTATGGACACTGAAGAGTCTAGATCAAATATGGATCAGAATAGACACGAGTGCACTTTGGAAAGTAAAAAAAATAAAAGAATTTCACTTCGCTCTTTACTATTATTAGCAAACTAGGTGAGCGCCACTGCGCCAGTACGATTGCTATGGAAGCTAAAGAATAGAACAAGGCAATACAATTACCAGGCTCAAACAAAATGGTCAAAATGATAGATTATTAGATCATGTGATTAAGTTACTAAAGCTCAAGCCATTTCTATGCACCTACTTTTAATATGGAACAAATAGATAACTTAGGGCTTGTGTGGCGAGTAGGTAATAATCACAAATATGTTCTCAATTTTATCTAAATCCTTTAAACACCAGTGGGTCCCATACATCCTCTTGCAACACGCTTCATTACTTTGTCCCGGCGAGTAGGTAATAATCCAACCAAATCAACTGGGGGCTGACGAGGAGCTTTGCTCCTGTGGTTGGAGTCCGCAGTAGCAGTTATATTTGATACGGCCTAGCACATACGTGATTGAGGCTCCGTTTAGTTGAGCTCTCAATAGCTCTAGCTTCTCTGACACGTTCATTGTTTATGCACTATTCTGGCTTCTCGTGCTCTACTCTGTGAGAGGAGAGAGAAAAATAGCTCATATGAACAGTGCATGGACAGTGATGCGTAAGAGAAGCTCGAGCCGATGTGAGCTCTACCAAACGGGGTCTGAGGGTGTTGACATGACATGTCTAGTTCATTGCACTTACACCTAGATTCTGAAGCACGTAACCTATGCATGCAGAGAGCACCACATATCAGGTTAATCAAAAAAGAATATCAAGCACTGCAACATGGACAAAGGGATGAAGATGGGTGGGATTGTCACGTGGACAACACTGGATTCTCCTCAGTACAAGAGATAAATAGAAGAGAGTTGTGGAGTTCACAACAGGTGGGAAATCAGCCGAAGAAGTGCTCCTTTGCGGCAAAAATGAACCGGCACCAGCGATGTCTTCCTGATAAGAAAAAGACTGAGGCAACGGCCAAAGAACACTCACAACAAAACTCCCCCCACCCCCCGCGTCGTTTCCCGAGGCGACTCGGGGGCGACACCCGCCGACACCAAACTCGGCCACCGCCGGCCAGCTCCCAGGCCGCCGCCGCCGCTCCCCGGCTAGCAGTGGCGGCGGCCCGCTGCGGCGCTCAAAAAGGTCCCCGCAGCAGTTCCACCTCACCCTCCCTCTCCTCCCCTCATCTTCCTCGTACGAGCTCTGAAGTTTCTGCGAACAAGGATGGCCAGAGGCGACCTAGAAACGCCTGATCCGAGTCCTCTGGGCCTGGATCCGGTGACCCCCAATCCGGATCCGGCGAGCAGCAGGCGAACAAGAGCGGCGACCTGCGCCAGCCCATGGCGGCCCAGATCCGGATCCTGCGAGCAGCAGCCCAAAGTCGCGGTGGCCAGCGGCAGGCAACTGTAAGGGCGCGGCGGCCGGCAGCAGGTGGCCAGGCGGCCTCGCCTTCGAGTGCCCGTGGCGGCTCAGCGACTCCGCCGGCTCGGCAGACGCGGACACCGGCGCTCTCGCATGCGGATCCGGGACCAGCAAGTTCGTGTAGGCCATCGTGACCTGCTTGGCCGCAGCTGGGTTCGCGCTGTGCTCGGGGATTTCCCTACAGGTGGTGTGGAGCACGAGTGGCTCCACGCCCACGCCTCGGAGGAGTACGACTGCGACTGGGCGGCTTCAATGCGGCATCCCCAGCCTCGGATCCATCGCGGACAGGGCCGACAGGCACGGCATACGGCGGGCATTGGATGCAGCGGCCGGTCTAGCGTAGCGCGAGAGGCTGCCCTTGCGGCGACCGTCTGGCGACACACCAAGGCGCGGCGGGTGGCCCGGATCCAACGCGTCTGGGGCCAAGCAGCGCACATGCCCTACTGCGGCGCCTGCACAGCGTCACGCGGTTTGGAGCCCGGCTTGTGCTGGACCAGCACCGCACGGCAGTGGCCTCCAACGCCATACTGCCGGTGCGCCTGCTGCAGCGCCTAGCGCTGGGGAAGACGCAGCCGCTGGAGCGCTTCACCCGTGATGCTCTTCTTTAACTTTAAATTGAGCTGTAGCCGCGCACCATCGACACTGCCTGCCACCGCGTCAAGGCCCAAGTCTGGGACGCTGCCACCGGAGTGGCTGCCTGCGGGGCCCGGCCGACGCGCACCCGCAGGGCCCGTTCCTGTGCCCTATCCCCTCCCTGGCTCACGTGCGTGCGCCTACGGTCGGCTGCCTGAGGGGACAGGTCGCTCGCCGGCACTCGAGTGGCTAGGTGTGTGTAGGGGGGGTTTATAACTCCAAGTAAGCAAGATACCTATTCTTAGATTTAAGTCATGCACAGTAAATAAGTCCCGCACCCATTACATATGTTCTCCAACAGCCGATGAAAAAAAAAATTCCTCCCATGCTCCCTCTCCTCTCTCTCTCCGCTCGATCCCTCTCTTCTCTTCTTCTCTCCCCCAGACGAGGCGCCGCTCCTCCCTGCCCCTCCGCTTCCGCGCCTCCTCCTCTGCCTCCGCGCCGCCCCAAGCCGATCGCCGCTCCCCCGGCCCGGCGCGTTGCATGCCCATCCTCCTCCTCTACGCTACGCCCCTGACCTCCTCAACATGGGGAGCGAGCGTGGCACCCCGGATCTGGGTGGGCATGTGGCCGCTTTGCTCGGGCGTCGGCGGCTCCTCGGCCATGTCGCGCCAATGGCGCTTCTCTCTAGGCGGGGGCTTCGCCACAGGCCCGCTGACGCCAAGAAGCCGCTTTTTGCCCGCCATGCGCGCCCGCCGTGGACCCGTCTGGAAGCACCGGCGGCTCCCCGCCGCGGGCTCGCCTCGTCGGGATCCACCGGGCGTCAGAGATTTGCGTCTTCTCCTTGGAAGACGCTTATTTGCCTCTCGTTTCGGGTGCTATGCAAAATGGGTCATCTCTTTGCGTGCTCCATTGGACCGTGAAACCAGATACGCAAAACACTGTGTAGGACTCATTTTGCGTCTGGGTAACGTTATTGGAGACAGTCTTAGGGGAGGTCCAGCCCATAAGATCAAGGCATGTGGTGCTCGGCTCTAGTCGGCGTGCACCGCAAGACAATCAGAAGATATTTTGGCGATGAAGGAAGATCTGTTCGAATATAATAGATATTGTATACCTTGTAAATACTTACCATATAGCCGAATAGATCTAGACTTAGACCGACCTGTAACCCTACCCTCCAGATTATATAAGGCAGGTAGGGACCCCCCTCGAATGAATCTCATATTCAATACAATCCACCGAAGACGCAGGCCGTAGGGTATTACGTTGATCAGACGGCCTGAGCCTGTCTAAATCGCTTGTCTCTGCGCTTGTGTCACCATTCGGCTCCTATTACGCGCACCTCCACCGATTCATCTACTACCATGGACATACCCCTCGGTAGACTGCCGACCATATTTTGTTGATAGTGGCGCACTAGGTAGGGGGTGTGCGTGCTGATTCCATGGTGAGCCAGATGGTCTGCTTCCTGAGCTCCATGATCCTTCCCGAGCCAGGTTAGACCTTCACGGTTGGATCTATGACTTGGGTCATCGGCGTCGACGACGTCAAGGAAATCATGGAGGCGGTGCAGAATCACCCTACGCTGATCGTGCCAACATCTACAATGACATCTTCGATCTCGGTGCCTCACCGCTGGGTTAGGAGATCCATCAGCAATGACGATATGATCGCATCTATCGATTGGGTCATAGACCACTTAGCGGAATGCCAGCTCCTCGTGGATTCGATCTTAGATCAATCTAGAGCGAGCGACGAAGTTCCTGCACTCCAAGGTCACCATGCCACTAATGCCGAGCACCCTGCTCGTGCACGTTGTCCGAGGTGGCAAGATGAAGATTTGGTGATCACGATAACTCTGGAAGGGCATACCGTTCAACGCCGACCACTCCTCACCCCGACGGAGAACATGCCGAGACCCTATTCTTTTGGGATGGTGGGTGCGGATCTGATCTATCGGAATGCCCTGCACCATCTTTTCGCCGACCACACCAAGCGCAGCTACGTCAATGACCTCTACCAGATCGACCTCCCTGAGGCCGACTAGACTACGCCAATGGTAAACATGGTGCAAATCCGGCAGCTTCCGGATGACACGCTCCATACAATCCCGGAGGAAAGCCCCAAGCCATACTCCGAGGGCTCTACTAGCAATTGCCCACCTTTATCTATTGGCTTTGGGAGAGAGCTTTTTATGGTTAGCCACGACAGCATTGCTATCGATGGAGAAGCCAATGTCCAGCGCCGTGAGCGTGAAGCTAGGAACGCTGATCACCAACGACATTGCAATGAAGAAGCAGAAAACGCCGCCCAAGCCGCCAGAGGTGGCCCACCGCCTCTCGCCCATAATCTCCAACAAGAGTTCCTCATGGTGGACAACCAACAAGTGGAGTAGACGTCGAGCACCAATCTGGCTATGGCCACCCACAAGCTGGCTAGACTCCCACCAATGCCGGAGGTACTTAATTATTCAAGCGCTGCTTAAAGCAGCTGAGGTCTAGGTCAACGACATCCTGAACCTAGTTCTGTCTTTTTTGACCGCATCGGCTCATAGTCGAAACCCCCGTGGCTCTAGCCACGAGGGGATAAGCCGTTATCATAGCGGCCAGATCGTCCAAGGAGGGTCTAGGGGCAATGTTGCCATCAACCCTGGATCACAAGGACCATGAAATCAGTGTGTCTGACCAGCTCATGACGCCAACCAGGAGGTTAATCAACCCCTACGTGGTGACGCCCGCGACCGTATCAACACCAATCTCGATGCCCACCATTGCATCGGGAACAGTCATGCCCAGCGCCATCGGGCAGAACTCCAACGCTGACTGGAGTATGATGACCAACACGGCAACCCCGTCGGCCTTCGACCACTCCCCGCTATCGAGCCGATGGGACCTCGCCCCTTCATAGCAAGGCTATGAGCTGTACAGTGGCCTATAGGCTTCATGGTCTTCAGGGTCGATCCCTACGAAGGCAAGGCTAATCCTGAGCAGTGGATGCAGCTCTATGAGATCACCGTACGTGCCGCGGGGGGAAACAGTGATGTAATGGCAAACTATCTACTTGTTATGCTCTCCCAATCTGCCAATAATTGGCTTATGGGCTTGGGGAAGGACTCCATTGAATCTTGGGATGATCTTAAGAGAGTTTTTATCGAGAATTACATGGCAACGTGTCAGCAGCCTAGTACGAAGTATGATCTGGAGAAACTCCATCAGACGTCTGGGGAACCTTTACGAAGCTACATCAGGCGTTTCTCGGAAATGAGGAACACCATCCCCAACATCGGGGACAGTGAGGCCATCTCTGTTTTCACCAGAGGACTCCATCACCATCATGAGCTGCACTCCAAACTTTACCGCAAGAGGCCCCAGACCATCAGGGAACTCCTCAAGGTTGCAAACTCATACGCAGACTCCAAAGAAGTTGATCGACAGTTCAAGGATGATGTTGCTCGTGCTTCTTGCTCGGATCGCCACCCACATCATGATGATGATCACCGTGAAGAACAGTGTTATGAAGATCGCGACAGGCGCTACGACGATTGTGAACGCCATCATAATGATCGGCCAGAGGGATCAAGGGCTGCACAGCCATGTCGCCGCCGACTAGAAAACTTCATCAACAACGTAGAGCAGCCACGCGCTAAGCACAATTTCAATGCTGCCTACGAAAAGCTCCTTGATGTTCCGTGCCCAATTCACAAGGACAGCAAGCACACCATGCAGCAATGCTATGGCATGGCCAAAGCTTTCCATGATGAGGAGCAGAAACGACAGCGGCGCAAGGACGATGAGTCAGATGACGGCAAGAGGGAGGAGCATCCTAAGGATGCACGACCCGCTTTCCAAGATGCCAACAAGACCGTCACCACAATATTCGGAGGGTATGCTGCCTCCAAGAGCAAACGCAGCAGAAACTCACCACTTGGCAGGTCATGTCGATCACCAAGTACAACACGGTCGCCGATCCTAAATATCTGGACTAGTCGGAGTACCCTATCACCTTCCATACGGCCAACCAGTGGGCGGATATCCCATACCCAGGGTGTTTCCCACTCATGCTAGATCCCACCATCCGCAACGTGCGGTTTAAGAAGGTCCTCATCGACGGTGGGAGTGCCCTCAATCTCCTCTTCGCTGGAGCCCTAACTGAGTTAGGCCTCACAAACGACGATCTCGTACTTGTTGATTCTCCATTATGGGGGATTGTACCTGGTAGAGCGTCCCAACCTTTGGGGCAGATCACCTTGCACATTCTAGTTTGGCACTGTCGACCACTTCTGTACTGAGTATGTGAACTTCGTGGTAGATTTTGACACCACCTACCACGCCATCCTTGACCGATCAACTCTCGCCAAGTTCATGGTTGTGCCTCATTATGTCTACCTGGTGTTGAAGATCCATACGGAACAGGGCATTGTCACCCTGCGTGCCAACGTCTCCACCACTTACGATTGTGAACAAAGTTTTGCTAGGCGCTAGGCGAAATCTAGGCGATGACCCTTAGCCTAGCGACTAGTCCAGCCTAGGCTAGCCTAGGCGATGCTAGGCGTTTTGCCAATTTATATTTATATATCAATATATAATATATACATTTATAGCACAAATCATGAATAATTTAGATAAAAAATAGGGAAGGACCAGTAGACATACCTTAGGTCCTTTGTCCTTAGTTGCAGTTGATACACTACTGATCACTGAATTTCCTGCAGCACTGCTGCAATAGAAGTGGACAACACTTTTAGATGCAATTGGGCATCAATACAAGTGATACAAAAAATAGAAAATAGCAAGTTAGGTACTTATCTGAGGTCTGAGCCTTCTCCCATCCATTATCAGCATTTCAGCAGCATAGGATAGCCTTTTGAAATCACAAACATGAAGGGACAGCAGGCAGCAACACAGAATATAAAATGGATAGTAGACTAGCAGTACATTACATCACATGATTGATGATTCTTAGTTCTCACAACACAAAACACAAGCACATAGCAGGAGTTCTAAGTTCATAAGTTAAATATACATGGATGCATAATAAAAGCTAAAACATGACATGAAGCTGTCTCACACTTCTTCAGTAGGGTTCATCCATCACATAGTCATCCTCATCTTCATCAAACTCTTCTTCTTCGGACTCAAACTCTTCTTCATAGAGCTCTCTCACCCTTGCACTTCTACGCAGCTCTAGTTGTTCTTCTGCTCCCACTGCGTCTCCAAGCATAGACCAAGGTATCCCTGTACCTTTCATGAGTTCTTCCTCATCTTCCTCATCTCTAAAGACAACTAATGCACAATCATCTCCATTCTCTTGGAGGAAACCTTGAGCTTCAGTTGTATCACTAGACAAGAGAACATCAGTAATTTTCTTTGACTTGATCTTTGCTCTCTTATTAATCAGCCTGTTGTTGAATTGAATGTAGACCAACTTGTTTCAGATTGACCCTCTGTTCCCGTCATCTGAGTTCAAGCCATCAATCAACAAATTACAAACATATACATGCAATCGCCAATCAGTCAACAAATTCATAGATATATATATATATACATGCAGATGCAGTCAACAATTTCATAGATGCATCATAGTAGATACATGGAATCATTCAACAATTTTAGATTTTAGAAACAGAGGAGAGGAGAGTAGGGAAAAGGAACAACTACTGGGAAAGGAAATAGAGGAGACCGGCTGTATATGTTTGCAAACAGACAAAGCAGGGGAAGGAAACAGAGGAGCAGGGGAGGAGGACATACAGACCTTGGGAGGAGACCGGTGTGGAGGAGCTTCTGGCAACGAAGATGAAGAGACCAGCGAGGAGGAGCACGACCCGTGGGGACAAGCTTGTCGAGGAGGAAGGAGACCGGCGGGGAGCAGCGTCGCCGGCGGGTCTTGCCAGGCGGGGAGGAGGCTCGTCGGCGGGATCTACTTCCAGGCGAGCAGCGCAGCCGGCGGGACCTGCTTCCCAGTGGAGGTCGAGGTCGAGGCGAGTATGACTTTCTCTCCCCTTCTCCACCTTATCCTTCTCCAGCGCAGCAACGCGCGGCTTTTTCCCGCGCCTGGAGCTCTTTGCGCGTGCTCACCCGCGGAGCCATTCTTTCACGCGCGATGGCCTGCGTCGCCCGCCTAGCTCGATTCCGCGCCACCTAGGGCTCCTGGGCATCGCCGAGTCACCGCCTAGCTCCGCCTAGTCACTCCGCCCGCCTAGAGGGGCGATTACCCCTCTAGTCTAGGCGCCAGGCCATAGCCTAGCGACTAGGCGCGCCTAGGCGAGACGTAATTGTCGATTTTCAAAACTTTGATTGCGAAAGAGAAGGACTCGCCATCGCTAATGCGATGGATCTCTCGGCCATAATGGAGGCTTGCATCACCGACTCCAAGAAGGTCCTAGTGGAGGAGCAGGCGATCCCAACTCAGGAGCCACCTCGGTCTGTGACAGTCCAAAGACACAAAGGAGGTTGAGCTCATGATTGGCGATAGAAGCAAAATGGCACGGATTGGGGCCCATCTCAACCCCAAATAGGAAGACGCGCTCATCAGCTTCCTCCATAGAAACGTTGATGTGTTTGCATGGAAACCTGTTGACATGCCTAGCATTCCTCGAGAGCTGATCGAGCACTCCTTAAATGTCTCGCCGACCACCAAACCGATCAAGCAAAAGCTCCAACGATTCGCGCAAGACAAAAGGAGGCTATTAGCGTAGAAATAACTCGACTATTAGCAGCCGACATTATTAAAGAGGTGTATCACCCAGACTGGCTCACCAATCTAGTCCTTATATGAAAAAGAATAATGAATGGAGAATGTGCGTTGATTACACCGATCTCAACAAACACTGCCCTAAAAACCCCTTCGGCTTACCTCGCATTGACATGGTCGTAGATTCAACAGCCGATTGTGAGCTCTTGTGCTTTCTCTATTGCTATTCTGGTTATCACCAGATCTCCTTAAAGGAGGAAGACCATATCAAAACTTTGTTCATCACACCCTTCGGTGCCTATTGCTACACCACCATGTCCTTTGGGCTAAAAAACACCGGCGCCACCTACCAGAGGGCTATCCAGCGATGCCTCTAGGACCAAATCGGGAAGAATGTCAAGGCCTACGTCGATGATGTGGTAGTTAAGTCTAAGGCTACCGATAACCTCATCACCGACCTCGAAGAAACTTTCCAAAACCTAAAGAAATTCTAATGGAAGCTGAATCCCACTAAGTGCATATTCGATGTTCCATCTGGTATACTCCTAGGCAACGTCGTTAGTCGCCATGGCATCGAAGCAAACCCATAGAAGATATAAGCGGTAACCAAGATGAAACTACCGACCTACGTGAATGATGTCCAGAAGCTAATGGGATGCATGGCGGCTTTAAGTCATTTCATATCCTGATTAGCGAAAAGGGTTTGCTGTTCTTCAAGCTGCTCAAAGCTTCAGAGAACTTTACCTGGACGCCTAAAGCCAACAAGGCCTTTGCCGAGCTCAAGCAATTCCTCACAACGCCTCCAGTCATGACGGCACCACAAGCTGGCAAAACCTTATTGATCTACATTGCTGCAACCAACCATGTCGTCAGTACTGCCATCGTCATTGAACGAGAAGAAGCCGGGCACACCTATAAAGTTCAACACCCTATCTACTTCATCAGCGAAGTCCTAAATGAGTCCAAGGCTCGGTATCCTCAGGTCCAGAAGCTGTTGTATGCTGTCCTTATTACGTCTAGGAAGCTTTGCCATTACTTTGAGACATATCAAGTAGCAGTGGTTACTGAGTATCTGCTGGGCGACATCCTCCATAATAAGGAAGCCAATGGCCGCATCATTAAATGGGCGGTAGAGCTCGGCACGTACTCCATTGATTTTAGGGGCCGCCAGATGATAAAGTCTCAAGTGCTCGCCAATTTCATCATCGGATGGACCGACATGGAAGCTCCTGTCTCAGCCGACCGACCCGAGCACTAGGTCATGTACTTTGACGGCTCCCTCAACCTTGACGGTGCTAGGGCAGGTATCTTTTTTATTTCTCCATCAGGGGATCACCTCCGATATGTCCTCCGAATTCATTTTCTAGCCTCCAATAACGCCGCCGAGTATAAAGCTTGTCTCCATGGTCTCCGTATTGCCATCGAACTTGGCGTTAAATGCCTGTTGGTATACGGTGACTCTGCACTAGTCATTAATCAGGTCAACAAAGATTGGTCTTGTACCAGTGACAAGATGGATGCTTTCTGCTCGAAAATTAGAAAGTTGGAGGGCAAATTCTACGGTATTGAATACCACCTCATCGTATGAGATTAGAACCAAGCAGCCGACCAACTATCCAAGCTAGGGTCGACTAGAGCCGAGGTCCTAGCCAGTGTCTTCATCTAGGATCTTCAAACTCCATCCATTAAGCAGGAGCAAGCAGTTCACGAATCTTCCCCTACCGAGCAATTGGTCTTGGTAATTCCTGCATGAAAGCAGTGATTGGCGAGAGCCTTTTATCAAGTACTTGACACTGCAGATGTACCGGCTGACAAGACCGAGATGGAACGCCTAATTTGCCACAGCAAGCATTACGTGCTAGTCGATGGCAAGCTAATGCGGAAGAATGCAAAGGAGGAATTGCTTCAGAAGTGCATATCTCAGGAAGAAGGAGTGGCATTGCTTCAAGAAATCCACGCTGGATCCTACGGCAACCATGCAACCTCTAGAAGTCTGGTCGGCAAAGCTTTTTTAGCAGGTTTCTATTGGCCATCAGCAGTTGCAGACACCGAAATGCTTGTCCAACGGTGTGAGGGATGCCAATTTTTCGCCAAACAGATCCACGTTCCAGCTTAGGCTCTGCAGACAATTCCTGCCTCTTGGTCATTCGCATGCTGGGGACTGGACATGATTGGGCCATTCATGAACGCCTTTGGTGGATTCCAATGGGTTTATGTCGCTATTGACAAATTCTCCAAGTGGATCAAGTGCAAGCCGCTCATCCAGTCTACAGCAAAGAAAGCAACGGAGCTCTTCAACGACATCATCCTTAGGTTTGGGCTGCCGAACAGTATCATCACCGACCTTGGTTCTATATTTACCGATAATGACTTCTAGGATTTCTACAAGGATCGGTGCATATCCATTAAGTATGTATCGATCACGCACCCTAGGGCTATTGGCCAGGTTGAGCAAGCGAACGGAATGATTTTAGATGCCCTAAAGAAGAGGTTATATGAGAAGGATCAGAAACATCCGGGCAAATGGCTCAAAGAACTACCAGCTATGGTCTAGGGATTAAGGACCCAACCTAGTTGCAACACTAGAGTCTCCCCTTATTTCTTGGTCTTTGGATCAGAGGCTGTGTTACTCGCCGATGTCGCTTTCCGAGCACCAAGGATAGAGAACTATGATGAAGAGAACAACGATCAGGCACGACAAGACAATGTCGACCGACTTGAGGAAGAACGCTTGGTCACATGTGTTCAGACGACCAAGTACCTAGACAGTCTACGTAAATACTTCAACCGCAATATCCAGGAGCGATCCTTCACAGTTGGCAACATAGTACTCCGCAGGAAACAGAAGAACCGATGGGATGCACAAACTATCTTCACCTTGGGAGGGTCTATACATTGTCAAGGCTGTGACCTGACCAGGATCCTATAGACTCTGTGATCAAGACGGCGTAGACATCCCTAACTCCTGGCACATCGAACACCTCAAGCGTTTCTATCCTTGAGACGTCCTACTAAGATATGTACCCCTTATGTATTTATGCATTTCAATTATGATTTTTTTCCATGATGTTTTCTCCATTTGTTGTTTTCTCTGTAATTTTCCTCCAATTATCTTTTATTTTTCTCGATGCTAAACATCTTTAAGATAATGCTTTCTATCACCATTCGATTCACCGACCAGGCACGTTCTCATTCGCGTTATCCAGAAGTAGTCCTGTTCTCGATTTAGCACCTAAACGTGCATGGGCAGTAGCGCTCTGTGTCATGGGCGGTCGGCAGCAGCTCCTCGGTGATGCCTATATTCCTAAGCGTGCACAGGAGCTAAGCTCTTTACACCATGGGGTGTGGGATAGTCGGGGCTGATAACAAGATAAAGGACTAACAATGCATCGTTAATATTAAATATTAACACTTTATACGTACTAAACACTAAAGTTTCATTTACAACTGCTCGGCATAATGCCGACAAGCTTGTTACATTCTAAGTTGTCATGGTTCATTGTCAGCATTGCCGAACAGATCCATGTCGTCCGCTAGTTTGATCGCCGAATCGGACACCTCCTCCTCCAGCGCGGTGATTTGCTCGTCGCTCAGATTTAGGGCAAAGCCACCGTCGATTCATTTGAGCTTCACCGAGGGGTAGACAGACTGGACAACCACCAGTGTGTGGCCCATAGCAGAACAAGCGACACCATGAGCATAGTGCTTAAAGTTCTCCAGCGCCGACTTGCACCTCTCCATGTTGATGTCCGGTCGCGGCGCTCTGTTGGGCTCCGGCACTTCTTGGTCGATGAGATCCAACATGGGTTTTATCCTGTTGGAGATGGTCTTCAACTTTTCTTTACTGGCCTCTAGCCATAGCTCAAAGTCATGGAACTATGCCTGACTATTGGTTTAGATTACTGCAGACAAGAAGGGCAATCGTCTTAAACACGTTTCTCATAGCAAGAGGGGTATTGACATAAGGAATAACTTACGGTTTAGTTCTTCGTCGAGTTGTTCTTTCATAGTCAAAGCTTCATCTCTTTCTTTCTCTGCTAGCACTTTGGCTTCATGCGCTAGCAGAGCTTGGGTCTCCACATCCACCTTGGCATCACACGCCAGGCGTGCTTCGATCTTCGCCCGCTTCTTTGCTTCATCAAGCTCTACACCAATGAAAGATTACTACTAGCGTGGGTGAATTGAGGATATGAAAGCAATACACTATGGGGCCTAAGGCCTTACTTTTCTCTTGGTCTATGCCATCGCCTAGCTGATTCATCAGCTCCCAGTTCTCCGCCTCCAGTCGTGTCTTTTCTGCTTGCAACTTCTCCTGGTCGACGTGCGCTTTAGCCAGCATCTTCTCCAGAGTCTTCATAGACTCACATAGCCTTTGGTTCTTAGCAATTGATGGAGCCACCCGCTTCAGCTAGCACGTGCGGTTCTCAGAGATCTTCATTAGCTCCTGTGGCAAACAATAGTTAA